GAATTTATAAAGGTGGTCAAAACTGATGATAAAAATCCATGCAATTTAAGCAGTTACTTTTCACAGTACATACGCTTTGTTAGCGGGCAGAACGAAGCTTGGTAAAAAGCCCGCATCCTATTACGACTGAAATAACTTCAGAATAGGCTACACGATAATCAATATCACAACTTGAGTCAGTGCCGATAAACGAAAAAGTATCAATCTTTCGCATATGTCGGCATGTTGCTCGCATTCTGGCGCGTACTGTAATTTTTATACGTTTTATTAAGCATCAAATGTCTCACTTGCATGCCTTCCCTCCGGGACATACGATCGTCCGTTCTGCGCCATCAGATTTAAGAAATGAGCCAGGAGATTATGAATCAAGCAGATAAATTACAATGTTTGTGGTGTACCGCAATTTTATTTTTAGGTGGCGGTGTATGATTGGATCGGACGGAGAGGAAGTGAATCCAACTTACTATAGGTGGCCGTGTGCTAACTTTTAGGGGGTTACTAATTCCCGTATACTAACTTGAATCCTTGCCCTTAGTACCTAGAAGTTTGCACAAAGCTACGGTGGATTAATAATCCCATGCCTAATCAGTGGGTGCTGTGTTATGTGGTTGTACAATTTATTCCTTTTGCCTTGAAGCTGCGAGCCGCGGACCCCCCAATAGGTGACATATAAGTCAAGTCAAGTCCAGTTTGTAAGACCAATGCCTTTGAACTCCCTATTGGCACACAGTAGTGAGATATAGCAGAACATTTCTAAAGAGGTCGTTTACACAATTATAGGCGCCTACTCATTCGTTCCAAGTAATACAATAACATGTGATGATGTCAGTTAACAGAAGCCAGTAGGTGTAATTAAGCAAAAAAGGCAGACAGTGGAAAAACTCCTAAGGCGTGGCTCAGAATTTAATCTTTGAGAAATGTCCTCAGCAAGGCTAAGAGACACTGAATTTGGCACTTTCGGCTTATTAAAAGGTATTGTGTGGAACGGAATTTCTTATTATCGGCCCGATACATCGGTGATCGACTGTCCCTTGTGACAGTGCACATTTCCCATTACAGCCGAAAACTGTTAGACTCAAAATGGCCTTCCGAATAAACCAGACGTATTCGGATTCGTCCTAGGCGTTCTTTGTGGGAACCGAGCGCAGACATATATGTGTTAATACTTAACTGACCTATATGTCAATGAACTAACACAAGTAGTAGATACTTGGGACTTTAAAATTTGAAATAACTTATCAGAAACCAAAGATAAACGTTTGGCGAAAGTTAAGTTGTCGCCAACTTTGAATACCTTTAGCCCCAGAATTCTGTCTTATGGGACCAATGGCATTCTTTTGGTCTGGTTTTTAGTTAATTATTTAGTTTATTAGTATAATTTTAGTTTTATGTAGTCTACTTTTAAGTTGAGGTAGTTTTTTTTTAAATTTAGCCTAGTTTATTCACGTATATTTACCTAACTTTGGTAGTATCTGACTTAACTAAAAACTAGACTAAGAAAAACATCTTAAACTAATGAACTAAGTATGAAACCAAAAACTAAACCAAAACTAATAGATCTAAAACTAACAACAAGACTAGTACTAGGGGCTAGGTGGGAGATAAGCTTAAGTGGTAACATCACGCACTTATAAACTTGGTTCAAAAAACATGAAACAAGTAAAGGGAGAAATCGGAGTTAGATTAAAGGTTGTTTCTTTAAAATTATGGCTCTCTCAATGTAAAGGACAATTAATCAGCCTTATGT